TGAATTTTAAAGGATAGTTATTTAACACCAACGCCGCTTCTATCTGTTTTATCTCATCATTTAGGTCTTCTTTTGTGCTACTTAGTGCCATTGCTCGGTTTGTTAGACAGACACTTAACTAAGCCTGCCTTAACAGTTAAAGGATGAGATGAATTACAGTCTAAATATCTGTTAGAATGCGTTCGTTGGTTTTCTATAAGCACTAGTGTGTAGTTTGCCTTCTTCTATTCGTTTTATTTTACAATTACTGATTACTGAATCCTTGTTCATCGAATATACACCCAACACATGCAATAGGAATGACTCATCACTCATACTCTAAATATGAAAAATATAACTACCAATCAAATCAAGTGAAAATCAAGTGAAAAACAATGGAAGTATATAAATGAATTTAGGAAGTCGTGTGATTACCTTGATATGATTATGAGCAGTAATAAATTGTGCTCGAAACGTCACCAGTAAACATTACTGTATAACACTGTGAGACTTTATCAAAACAAAATTTACCCATAATGGAATTACCCTCTACCACTTTGCACAAATGTTTTTCTTATATCAATGGTTTTAAATGGATTGATTTATCGGTTGAATTTATTGAGTGACAATACTTTATACAAACCAATAGGATGTCGTTCTTTGTCCGAATCTTTTAATGTATTTCCGCAACACATTTAGAACCATCTCATTACACATGGACTTGTCACTGGTATATATATGAAATTAGTAATGTGTTGAGAGGCGGGAAATTTCGATTTAGACCAAGTTAAGACGTCATATTGAATGTCAAAATAAAAATGATAATCACTATACCAAAGTAAAAGAGGCAACAGTACATCTGCCCTGGCTGGTATCAAATCAAAATAACCAAAGAAGTTTTAGTGTAATAACGAATTCTTTTCGTAAGCATATAAGTGGTGTAAACTTGCTCATTGCCAACTAGGGCTTCCACACACTTTAGGATACACCCAACACACGTTTTACAGATGGGTTTAAAATATGTGTAAACATCAATTTTATCTCCTGTCTTTATGTTATGTTTCACAATATAGGAACTAGGTTCCTGTTCTCACCATTAATGGATTCTGAGGATTATATTTGCTTCTCGAACCATTTAGGAGTATGCTCTGAAGTCCTTACTTGAAGAGATCGATGAGTCCACCTTATGTATGTGTGTCCACACGTTCATTCGAATTGGTACATACAGTGGGATGTGACATCATTTTTCGCATGTTCTAATGGCTTTAATGGATATATTGGCTTCCCATTCTGAATTATTTTGACAATAGCTGCAAAAAAGTCTTTTTAACAGCAGCGTTCAACCTTTGTCTAGTTATCAAGCTGCTGTGAAGCCCCATATAGGGTAGCTTGATGTACACTTCTTTCTTAGGGGGAAGTTGGAGAGTGGGTCTTGGTTTTCTGACTACTTTATATCTCCTGATGAAATTGTCTGGATAATTGTTATCAAACAGAGTTTGTGTCAACTTTCTTTCTTATTCATCAAGTGTGTCTTCAGTGCAAATTCGTTGGAGAAGAGGCACCTTACTAAGGCTGTTTTGTACCGAACAGGGCAGAAACTGTGGCAATTAAGATACTGCCCTCTCTAGGTAGAATTTTTATAAATAGATCGTCTTACTGACCCATTAGGCCGTCAACTAAGCAATATATCTAGTAAAGATAAACGATTATCTTCCTCTTCTACAGATGTAAGGGTATGCTATTCTGAACTTCATTCATTCGATTTGAAATTGAGGTGGCAGAACAAGGCCTATCACTGATGATTACAATGTCGTCTACATACCTTCTATAAAGTGGCACATTTTCGATTAAATCCTCCTATAAACTCTCAATAACATATATGTGTCTGCTGAAAGGGGCCCTAACGGACTTCCCATAGCAACACTATCAACCTGACGGAAACAATCCCCTTCAAATGTAAACCTAACACTGCTAGTACATAGAAGTAATAAATCCCTTAAATAAGATATAGGTAACGGGATTAGAAAATTATGTGGGGCAATGTAATCACACAAATTATCAACTGTTTTGAGTAAAGGCACATTAGTGAATAAAGAGTTTACATCGAAAGAAGTACTCAAGAATGTTGTATTATCGCCGCAGAGGGGTTTTACACCAATTATTACAAATCATATATTTTAAAAGGTATTAGTGAATAAAGTATATATATATATATATATATATATATATATATATATATGGAGAGAGAGAAATGTAAACAGAATAAAATAAGTAAATGAATTAGTCATTGACTACTTAAAAAAACAGTAGTCTGAAATTGCAATCAGTAAGCCCTCTCACCAAATGATAGCCAATTCGTCTAGTGATGGCCCATTCACCCAACTAGCTGTCCCAAAGCGGTTGGTGGTGATGACAGAATCAAGACATTTGACGTCACTAATAAATGTATATCATTCAAGTTTACCAATATAGGTGTTATTGCAGCCACGGATGATATCTACAAACAATTAGTAGAAACAGATTTGTGCACTAGGATTCCTAGTATGAATGTAAGAGACTAATGTTGAATTTTACGTCAAAATTTTAGTTCGGTTTCAATGATAAAATGATAAAAGCGAAGTTGTCAGGCTAGTAATACGTGTTTTATTTGCAGATTTATTCCTAACAAGACTGCGAAATAGTAGAATGGCAAATGGATTTGTACTGGCATTATTATTATTATTGTTTCCTTTAATTCCTAGAGGAACATAGGGCTTCAGCCGTGCGTCTCCATTGCGTTCGGTTCTCTGCTAGAGTCTTCACCTGGCTCCATGTCTGCCCACACGTTTTCATCTCCTCTTCACATGACCTCCTCCAAGTCTGTACTGGCATTACATGAATGATAATGTTCCACTCTATCATAAACATCATCAAGCTAGTAATTCGTTTCTGAGTCATATCAACAGTATTTATCCGGCAGTTCAAATCACAGACAACTCGTTGGACGTTTACAACTTTTTTATTTTAAATAGAAGAGACACCTCTATCAGAAGAGATACACTTAGCAGAATATACGCGTTAGATCGTGTAAAAAAATTAAAAATACGGTTTCTCTTCGACAAAGTCATCAAGTAGAGTGTATTTTCATGTATATGTGATAAAGGGGTATGAAAGTTGCTAAAATATTCACGGCCAAGCGTCAATTAATTAAGAATAACAAAATTACAAATACGCATTAAAAACGTAATGATACAAAAAATAAAGGGGAAGTTCAGGTCAAAAACACACTCAGATAATAATCATTGGGAATATTCACTGTTTGTCATGGCTAAAGTAGAGACAAACGTGGAAAGTACTTATTTTGAATACATAGCTTTGACTTCAATTTTTCGGTAGATAGTACTTCAGCTACACCTGAATGTCTTGATCTCACTGCCCTTATGTGGTTTAATCGGATCTTGTATAGGGCTTTGCGGGACTTTGAATACTCTCTAGCATTACAAGTTGCCTAGGATTTTTGTTGGTTAAAAACTAAAGTGACTTCATTAGATCTTCAGCAGTTGCATTGAGATTGGTGTACCTTGAGGGTTATGTAAGAAGGTGATAAGGAGATATCGAAGAAATTTTGTGTGGAAACCACTGTTTTGGAAATTCCACAGTAGTGAACACAGTTTATGGCGGTCGTAAATTTGGAAGAATGACACATGAAAGGAACAAATATGCTCGAAGGAGGTACTCCCAATGCTTTTGATCAGATTAATAACCATGAAATTTGTGTTTTTCGTATACATAAGATATTTAGTCAAAGATAACTGTATAAATCCACAGAGAATTATTAGAAAAAACCCAGGGTTTTTATTGAGCGTACTGACCACTATACAAATTATTTTCAAACTTGAATTTTTATCACTGCTCAGTTAAGATGTAGAGCTGATGTCTGCTTGCTGACTGATGTTTTAGTTTAATTATAATTTTTCGCTGAAATCCCACTCATTCACATAAACCAGAACCACAGTTAAATATTTCACCTTAATGTAATTTGACTGGTGGTGTGTAGATATCAGTGGAATCGAAGGTGTGCGTTTTTTTCTACATGATGGTTGTTATTACGACTTATCTGCGTAACAGTGTACTCTGATTGATTAAAACTTATGAATAACCTGTTATCTTGGTTCTCTTGACCAGAAGTGCTCTTCCTGTGTTGAAATATTGGCTCTCAGTACAGGCAATTCGATAATATCTGAGGATCAACTCGATATAATGCATTAAAGATGTACTGATGTGATATCTTTCAAGAATATCAGATTAGTCCAGATGAAGTGGGGGGGGTGGGAGCGGGTTAAAAAGAGGAATTTTCGGGTACATTCTCAGATATCAGTAAATTTGTGAAACTCACTAACGAAACAAGAAGAATGGGGAAATCGAAAATCAGTCTGCTAAATTGCAACAAACTGATAAATAACAAAGTGAGTATTGTTTCATCAATGAATCGCATCCCTATCACTAGTTGATATGAACAAAGGGACAGCCTGAAATCAAGCATTATTACATATTCTGAGATGATACACCAGTCCTGTAGTAAGTTATATCTTATGGAAGGCGCATTACTCATTTGAAGGTTCTGTGGCCATATTCCGAATTAGGAATGACATTCACTACTTACAGCGTTTATCCAGTTTCCTATTCGGTTATAGTATAGTGATAAAAACGATTCTAATTTGATCAAAGTAAAAGTATATGGAACTGCAGTATTAAAGATTTCAAGCTTTATAGTTCAATGCAAACACACTTCACCATCAGAATTGATTTTAAAGTAAATAAAATACACAGTCACACAAAATCTCATTAACTTAAAATGCCAAAATCCAAAGTCATTAGACCTTAGTACACATGGATATGTAATATTGGTTCAATAGTATATATGTACAAGGTACATTCAATATAGATTTTCTTATGGTATATATATTATTCAGTCAAGCTAATTAAGATTACAGTGGATGATATCACCAAACCATTGTGCTATTTTTCTTCATTGATTTATAATGTTTAAACGTAAGTTGATGGATCTTTATCAGTTATCTTTTCATATTGATGTAAGTTGTGTTTGCATCATGTCAAAGGGTTTCTTACTAGAGATTCAAGCATTCTATTTGAATTAGATGCCTCAAGAAGAAATTAATCGGAATAATAGTAATAATAGCCCATCTTCTCTTTTGCGTGTCGGTGATATTGTTGTTTTGCTTGTGGTTGGCGTTTCGATTAGTGGATAGAACAATTTTTCTTAGGGCAGTATGTTTGTCCTGCTCACAGTTTATGAGATTATATAACTGGTCACACCAGTTGAAAGACGACTCTGGTAATGTAAGACAATTACAAGCTCAGTTCTCGAGCATTTGGTGAACTCAGGCCACGTAGCTCCACCAAAGTCGTCTTTCAAGACCATCTACAAAGTGAAGCCAAATGGTACAAAGGTCATCAGGTTTCGGCTTTTGTGTATGGCCGAGGCACTGGCAATTCATCAATACAACCCTGAACTCTGTATACAAAAAAAAGTTTGTCCAGTCTCTTATTCTACCTTGATCTTAACCTCTTCACTAATCGTTCCTTGTAAATAAAAAAATTTTGATTTTTTCTTTTCATTTTGATTTTAGTTTGCTTTTGCTTTAATAATTAATTCACCATTATCACTCTCATGTGCTCCTTCTGTATATTTTGACACCCTCTTCACACTTGTCAAATGGACTCTCAGTTGCCTTCCTTCTCACTCAATAACAATTTTAAACTTATCAAATTTCTAACGCTTTCTTCCTTTGTGACGTTGAGTATTGTGTAATTTATAACTTATTTTTACTTTTGAAGGCACTTCTGAGAAATTATATCAATTATGTCACCCCTCTATTACTCAATACTGGACTACTATGCATTTTTGGTAAATATAAATACGACTGTACAGCCTCTGAAGATGATTTCGTCGACATTCAAATTGTTTGAAATGAAAATGTGGTGGATAAAATAAACACTCCACTGACAAAAACCAAATTTACTGTTGTGTTATCGGAATGCAGAGATAGCTGTGAATAAGTTTAACAGTTTGTGTTGTTTTATGCCAATATGAATTACATAGTCCAACTCTTAAATTCGACTCCGTATTGTAGAGTAATTATTTACCTGAAGAGGGGTGAGAATGCGTATTAAAGTGTAAAGAAAACGCCAAAAACTTCTCAGCCGATTGCGAATTAATGTAGGAAAACTGAACTAATAAAAGGCATGCTTCTTTTTCTACACAGAAAGTCGCCGTAATTATTAAATATTTCTAATCCTCTCCCAATGCACCATGCATAGTTTGCGTTTTAATTTAGTCATAACAATTTCATCTGCCTACTAACCAAAGTAATTCCTTTTCTAGATATTCATAAACTGTACTCGAACCCTGGAACCCGACCGGTAAGACGGAAAATGTATATTTAATATAATCTTTGAAAAAAACCCACATTAGACTCCTTTGGAACCTTATACCACACATGAAGCACTGGAGGTAAAGTAAATATTTTGTGTGATAATAAGTGGTTCTTTCAATCAGTTTTCAGTTAATATAGTATGGATGACGTTAACTACTATTTTAATTACTCTAACAGTGTCGGCTGTGTAAGATGTTATGTAATATTATTGTCTTTTCATTTAGTCATCAGCCAGATTTCTGTGTGACACTCTTAGAGAGCTCACTAGCTTCAACACTAACTTTGTAAGTCATTTCAGACAATAAACTCTACTAAACATTCCTATAATTATCGTAGAATGTATAAATTACAGTTGAATTGACCGTATGCGCTCACGTATGCACAGTAAACCATGATTTGTATGCAATACAGGTTATCGTATTGATGACATTGTTTGATGCTTCTGTTTCATCTTGTCCCTTACCTTCTCGACACTGCTAAAGATACTTTATCCTGACTACTACACATCATATTATGTTGCTACGTACAAGCTTCTGCTGAATACTTATATATATCACATGTTAAAGCAGCGAAAATACTAATATTTTACACATCGTATTTCTTCCAAAATGTATGGAAGTTTAAAAAACCTAAAAGGTTATTTCATGTATCACTAGTACCACAGGAATATTAATTTAAAGTGAAAAAGATTTATTTGACTGCCTTCTTCTCTCAACACGAATGTCAATGCAGTGAAATCCTGCATAAGTTTATACATAGTTTATGCCTTTTATGATGTCGAGGAAACCATCAAGTAACATCACTAGACAAGCCATTGCTCGAGTGGAACCCGAAAGGGAAGCGGCGAGTTGGTCGTCAGTGCAAGGGTGACTTGTAGCAGGTCATGTGAAGAGGAGATGAAAGCATGTGGGCAGAACTGGAGCCAGGTGAAAACTTTAGCAGAAAACCGAACGCAATGGAGACGTGCAGCTGAAGCCCTATATTCCTCAAGGAATTAAAGGAAATAATAATAATTTTATGATGGGACTCATTTGACGCGACATGCTTATATATCGTAGCATACTGAAATCCGAGTTGAATTGTGAAACGCCTATCTTTAAAGTTGGGTTTTTTTACGTCGATGGCAGTATACATAAAGATCCTCTAATTTCAAAGGGTTCATTTGTAACGTAAAAGTTTTCATGGTGGTGATGACAGTATGAAAATTCATTACTGTTCAGAGCTCTGTAAGTGACAGGAGGTTTTTAGATAGACGTTGCCAGCTTTAAGAGAAAATGAAACTTGTGATCACTGAATTTTAACTGATCAAGTTGAATCAAACTTTATATATTAGGTATAAAATAGGATTTTTATAGACGTGTGAGCTAATAATTTTGTAGACTTTGTGAAACCTTTTTGATCAGTATTTAAGAGCGAAAACTAAGTGGGTTTCTATGATCCAGTTAACTAACAATTCAGTCTTGTGAACAGTTAATTAGGGCTTAATAAATTAGTGTTTGAGCATTTAGCATTGGCAGCAAGTGATTTCGATTTCAGTCTCGAAATGGATTTCTTCAGAGGAAATGATTACATATTGCGGTAAATAATCAAACGAATGCCTTGTAATCAGGATGCACACAGATTCAAAGCAATTGTGATATTACACGAGGGTTTGGAAGGATAAAAGATGTAAAACAAAACGATTAGCTATAGAAGCTATGAATATGTACCCAATTCTGTCATTGTCAAATTGATTTTATCATAGGATCATAGATAGTTTGAAAGGAATCGCATTGTCCCAAAAAGTTAGGTTAACTACGACGAATACTATTTCACTATCAAGAGGGTTTCCTTCTCGCCAAATAATCATTACTTTACTTGCTTGAATGTTAAACTAAAATCAGAACAACTGCATAAACTCAGAAACTATACACCCAAGTATATATTCAAGAGCTTGTTTGCAGCGATTCAACTGGTTACAGTATTTCATTATAGGTTGACATTGGTTACAGAACCATTGGAAAACCTGGAAGTACTGGACAGCTGTCTCGTCTTAGTTTAGGGCTGTTCACCGGGGTTCGACCCGAGGACCTCATTGTCACATGACCAGCTGGTAGACTATTAGACCAATGGGCCATTGGATATGGTTCCAGTGGTCCAATGATTCTCTAACTGATGGCAGCTCATAATTAAATCCAGTAAGTTTTTATTATCTCTGTGTTTTGACATGTGTCGTTCAGTGTCATTGTATATATTAATTAAAAATTGATACTTGTTGTTTCAGATATTTCTTCCAATTTAACATAGCAAACCTCTTGTGCTTTTAATTGTAGATTATTTTGTGCACTTTCTCTTTCGTCATTTGTAACTTTTGAGAAGTTACAAAAGTTGTTTCCGATCAACTATATTCTACTGGCTATAATCGTAAGTATTCCTAGCTAAATATGTTAAACGAAACATTTAACCTACTTTAAACAATTCAGTCAATATTTATTCGTATTTTTCAAACCATTCACTAAAGTCCGCTACATAATTTACAAGAAATAAGTTGGTTTCAGAGTAGTCTTTTTTTAGACTTCTGCATCAAGTAGAAAACCATCGGTAATTTAAGGATACAGAGTAGTTAATTTGTTCTTGTCTGATTTATTCAAACTTACTTAAAGTGAGACATGGTCTCATCTACAGGTTACCGAGACCAAATAAGCGGTAGCGGCAAACAGACCACTTCACTATAATTAACCGATTGAATAGGAGGAGGAGGAGTATCGCTCTCTGTGAAATGCCTGTATGAACTATGTTCATGTATGTGTGCATTTTTTAAGTATATATATATATATATAGCTGAGACTAATTCGACGTAGATAAAAACTGCTTAGAAGCTTTTAAGTGTCCAGTCACTGAATAAGAACATAACATCAGCATCAAGTCAATAAATAACTAAACGTTTATCTGAATACATCAATCATACACAGAGCAAAACAACTAGGAGCCATGTGCAGTCATCTGTATAAAACTGGTGGTCACAGTTTTAACCTGCAGCCTAAAGTCAGTGTATATTAGTGGATTTCTGGAGGATGACTGGAATTCGTCAGACCAAGGGAACTGATCTTGGAAGGCTCCGGACACGATGAAAAGTTAAAGCTGCTAAATCATAGGCTGACTAAGCATCTCTGCGACGCCCGCTAACCGTGGTTGATAACGATAACGAAAGAAGTGGGAAAGGCGTCACTAATAGGTCATATCGTCAATAACGCGGATTCATAGAAAAGAAAGAACTCTGAAAACAGTTAGGTTGAACTGTCTTTGAAACTGATAATACCTCCACTGAACATCGTTAATGTAGGCTGAAACAATTCGGGAATGGTTTTACTAGCCTACAGTTATATTACAGTTTTGTACTCGCTTCGGTGGTACATATCCTAAAATTGGAACGATACAGAGAAGATTAGCATGGCCCCTGCGCAAGGATGACACGCAAAATCGTGAAGCGTTCCATATTTTTTGTGCGTCAGTGGCATAGCAGTTAGGACGCTCGCCGACCATGCACATGGTCCGCGGTTCGATCCCCGGCCGACTCACTCCTTTACCTCGCTAAGCCAGAAATAATGCTGGTGAAGAGGAAAGGTTGGGCATGAGGCTAGCAACTCCATCCTGTAAAATAAACACTGCTACAGAAACTTCAAGCCACTAGCTTGAAGCCCTATGTTCCACTGGGGAACGTGAAGGATAAAAAATATATTACAGTTGCTGACCATCCAACTTTGTGAGGATTGGAAAATCAACACTGGTTATCCGGTTGTGACTAAAGCTGCAAATTTGAATGTATGTAAACTAAGACCGAAACAAGCAGCGGAACTGGATGGTTTGACTTGAGAACTATTTAAGGATGGCAGTGATGACTAGATTAACCAAGGTACTGTCTAGTGGTTAGGAGGCCAAGATGACTCCATAGGACTGGTGAAAATCGTTGGCTATGCGGGTTCATAAAAAAGGATCAAATCTTCCTACCACGACTACATGCAAATCACCTGGATTAACACGATATTTGGGATCCTAGGATCTGTAGTCATGTGAGGACCAAATGAAGCTTGCAAAAAAACAAACCATATGGAATTTCGGCTTCGAGTATTACTATCTGATCAAATCTAAACGCCTCAGCAGATTCAGGAACATAGACGAGCCTACAGGACGCCGTTATTTCAGAATACAGAAATAACCAGTCCTTTTATGTTGTCACTTGAGTACTCTGAGCAGAAATATTGGCTAGTTTGTACCTGTTAAATATGAGATGATGATAGAAAAGGATTAATCCAAAATGACTTCTAGCTTATTTATAAGGTATGAGTTGTTTAACTGTATTGATCACTTTACTTATTTGGCTACTTGCACTAGAGCTTAATGGATTGGTTGTTGGTGTAATATTAGCATGAACAGAAGACGCTTGTCATACCTAATTATCTAAAACGAGTATGTCTGCCGCACATCAGTAAGATATGGATGCTGAGAGTAGAAGGTAACGAAAAGCAGAAAATTTTAACCTTTTGAGTATTTACTCGCTTTCCCAGGTAAGAGGATATAGCATAATAAGTAATAATGACGTTAGGAAAGAATTCTATTGATCACCCTGATCAGCATCATCAATTGATGTGCGCTGGGAACACCAGGACGCCGCCTTCGTACATGCACAATATTAGCTGAAGTAGGATTAGTTGAGAAAAAAGTCTATACTGGTCAAGCTAGAACAATAACAACAATTTGTGCTGTCATTGAGCCGTTCGAGGAGGTTTAGATTCCTTTGCTAGGCTCTTCAGGATACCTAAGCGATTACGGCCTCTCTATGACATGACTATAACCTCTCATTCCATGTCATCTTGGAGATATTGGAAAGATCCGTCACTTTCCATGTAAATAATCTCTTCTCCGTAAGTTGACTAGTTTTTTTTTCAGTAACGCCATTCAATCTCCAGGTTTCAACTTCGGGCGGATTTCAACCGGACAGGAAGTTGTTTTCATCCATTAGCGATGTCAACTAGACATCAGAGACTCTTGAGTTACTGAATTTCAACCTGGTGTTTGAATGTCAATGTTACTCACCTGTTAACCTGCCGAACTGTAATGTGATCACCATCAGAGTAGTTGGTATGCATAGTGCAGAATTTTTGCAATTCAGTGAAATCTCCGACTTTTGAATATCATTATTTTTGATAGTGTTTAAATGTAACCTCAAAAACCAATTGTTAAATTCTTCGCCTCTATTTGTTTCCAGGCGAAACCTGCAGTTTTTACCGGTTTGTTTTAAAATTAAAATATTATTCATATCTTATTTTATGTAAAATAATATGTCAGTTATTTATTTATTTTAATGAATTCAGGTTATCTCAGGTTCAGTGTTGCTTTCATATTCTTGTGTGTATATACATTTTCTGGGATGTTTGGGTTCATGGACTTTGATTATCTTGATATCTACAGTAGAAATCATGTTAGCAATCAGAACTCCCATTTGGACTTCAGAAAAACTATCAGATTTATTGGTGACATCAGGTGCATTCATTGCCATTGGATTTGTGTATCTTTTCATTGCATTTCTCTTTGGTATAAGTGTAAGTTGCTTATCATTATTATTTTCAGTTAGTGACAATTATGATATTAACAAGATAGGACCCTATACTATTAAATAAAATAAATATAAAAAGGTGATTCAGTGTTAAATTAATACAATCAAATGGCAACATGTTTGCCCATGTCTAATAGGCATATCGCAGCTTTTATTCGTTTTTATTATTAGGAATTGGAAACTAACTTTGTTTCTTGGGTGAAAAACAAAGCTTCATCAGTACATCTACATTCCATCCTGTTTTCTGTAGTTGTCTTTAGCCGGCTACACGACTGTGTATGGGCTGTCATCCCCCCTTTTACACAACCTCCTCCACGTCACCGTCGAACGCCCAACTCTTTGTTTCCCATTTAGGTCCGACTCAAGAAGGATAAGGAGCGCGATTAAACTCAACAGTCTCTTCAGAGTGTGTCTATCCCATCTCCATTTTCTTTGACACATTTATTGGGTGACAGGTTCTTATTCGGCTCCTTTTCAGTGTTCATTAGTGCTAAGCATTTCTGGCTGTATTATCTTCATCAAGGAGTCAGCGAAAGCAGCTGTTGATAAAGTCTGCAAACTACTGAAGATGATTATGGTGAAACACCAAGTCTCAGAACCATATAGGAGAACTAACTCAACATTAATGAGGGAAATCGGAATCTTGTTCCTTAAGCTGAGTGCAATTGATTTTCAAAGTGCCTCAGGTTAATGAAGATTTGTCTTCCTTTTCCTATTCTACCTTTTGAAATCCCTATATGTGCCACCTGCAGTTGAAAAGATGCTGTCAAGGTATTTGAAAAAAGTGACCTCTTTCATATTTGTCCATATGATATTGACTGGTGCCTGTTGTTGTTGGTTGGTTATTTTCATCACCTGTGTTTTCTCTATGTCCATTTAGAGTCGTGTCTTCGCTGCCTTTTCTGACAATTTGCTGGCTGTCACCATAAATTGTCCACGAAGCTCAAATATCCTAGAGTCCTTTTGTCGGCTCAACGTATTTCTGTTTTATTGTTCCTAGCGCATGCTATGCGGTCCGTCACAATCAGGACTATCATCAATGATAGTAGACAACCTTGTATTGTTACCTCTTGGTTGGAATGACAGACATTTAGGATAATGCAGCAACTTTATTAGTATTTAGATGAAGTATTCTCTGAGAGGTAAAGCAAATTCTCCCAACTTGATCATAATAGTTGATAATCTACCAAGAATGATTATTTCAGTTGCACTCACTGGCACATGAAAAGGTATGGTAACAGCTTGGATGACTGCAATATTAACTGAACGTGGGAAGTTGCCTTATTCATATATTGACTAAGTAAATGTTCCAATGTGTGTAATAAACAAAGGACTCAGTTGGTGTTGCTGTTCATTCAGCGGAATTCTAAATTACTATTACAAAAGAGAAATGTTTATATTCTGGGAAGTTTTATGTTGTTTTAGTCAATGCGTTCGACTTAGGTAGACAGATCGCTTATGCTTATTAACAACGAAATTTGTAAAAATGTTTCGGGTGATATTTGTTACTGTATCACTCAGAGTTGAAGTTACATACTTTATGTGATTACCAGCGAAGTGATACTTTGCTGCACTAATTTATGCCTACAAACTAGATATTTGAATATTATGTGAGACAATTAACAATACTTAAATTTCTCTCGATAATGCAGGTTTGGCCTTTTGTAGGATTCAAGAATATTTTCCAACTACTTCCTTCTGATTAAGTTCAATCAGGTGACAACAGATTTATCATCTGAATCACCATTATTTATGAAGAAAATAAAAAGCAATTCAGCGAAGAAAATTGCCTTATCGACGAAATTATCTTCAGAGGCTCTACAGTCATACTTATATTTACCAAAAATGTAAAGTAGTCCAGTATTGAGTGATAGAGGGGTGACATAATTGATATAAGTTCTCAGAAGTGGCTTCGAAAGTAAAAATAAAAGTTATAAATTACGTAGTACTCAACGTCACAAATGAAGAAAGCGTTAGAAATTTGATAAGGTTAAAATTGTTATTGAGTGAGAAGAAAGGCAACTGCGAGTCCATTTGACAAGTGTGAAGAGGGTGAGAAGACGGATAAAAGAATATGTGAGAGTGATAATAACGAATTAATTATTAAAGTAAAAGAGGTAGAGACCATGATAGCATAAGAGACTGGACAAACTTTTTCTGTATACAGAGTTCGGGGTTGTATTGACGAATCGCCAACGCTACCGCCATACACAGAAGCCAATACCTAACGCTATTTGTATCATTTGGCCTCACCTTGTAGATTATTTTGAAGGACGACTCTGGTAGAGCTGACGGACTTGAGTTCATCAAATGCCCAAGAATTAAGCTAGTGACAGTCTCGCATTAACATTTTCTAGCCATACCTGATAATGTTCCGAGATGCGTTTGGAAAGTATGCGCTTTGTGCGGTCAATATGGTTTACTAAATTTTGTATACTTTAGTAGCTATAAAAATATTTTTTTATTCTTTCTGTTTAGATTTTTACCATCATTGCTTTCGCCTTCCCTTTCGTCATTGGTATTCTTTTGGTAAGTTCTATGAATGAAGTGAAAACAGAACACTTTAGTAGGGTTTACTAGTAATTTACCCCGACGTTTAGGCATTATAAAGTTAACAATGACCTGGACTGAGAGAAAGAAGGAATTAGGAAAAAACTGAAATATGTTTCTAGTTCTCCTTTTCCAGCTATATGAAATCAGTGTTCTTTTAATGAATCCATCGTAAAAGAGACTGTTATATCTTCCGGGGTAGAAGTAATCTTTCTTTTTCTTATGCCACCACTAACTTTGCCATATGCAGTATAGCATGAAACTGTAACACTATGATGCTATCTAGGTTAAATGAAGCTGTTGGTTCCTATGTCCGCTGCAAAATTGATGATACTGATATGGAAACCAAGTCTCAAGTTAAGTATCTTGAATTAATTCTTTCTTCTGACCAATCCTGGTTTTCCCATGTCTCATAGATTTCTAAAAGAATATTTCGTCTGACTTTTTACATTAAGAAGTTAAGGCACTCAGGCATAACTCAACCACTCCTCTTACAATTTGTCAACTCATGCATCTTACCTATTCTTCTTTACTGTTCACCCTTATTCTTTCCAGGATTGCTCAAAAGGGACTATGTCATTACTTAGTAAAACTATGAAGACTGTCAATAGGGCTAGTGGTATCCAGTTAGGCCATATCCTTGACATTGTCAACGATAGGCACTAGCTGTCATGCAACAAAGTCGCTAAAGGAATTTTGTGAGACTGTAAGCATCCACTTTACCCATAGCTCAAACCTTGTGTCTCCTCAGGTAAAACAAGAAGTCTTTTCAGAAGAATGTATGCACGTACGTCTAAGTATAAAAATCCTACTATACCATATTTGGTACGTACTTTATGTAATGAAAATGGTGTTAGGCTTGCACTAACTAACCTTCTTTGCATTACTAAATAAACCATTTACCTCCATCCTTACAACATCAACCTTTATTGTTATTGTATTTCTTATATTTATAATTTTCTCAATTTTTTTGTTTTTATTTGTTTATTTTTTCATAAGTATGAACATCAATTAAGCTGTGTTATAAGTGTTAATTTTGTATTTCTCCTCACCATACTGTATCAACAGAACATTAGATTCAGTAATTTATAACATGCTAAAATTTTCAAACTGAATCGACAATACTGTTTGAAACAAACTCACTGTTATTATTATTATTATATTTAATATTCTCAATTCGAATATTTTGACAATATCGTAAATGTGGACAAATTCCTCTGGTTAATTTTGTTTTAATTTTATTTATATTTTGAGTAAATCAGATGCAATATTGTGACAAATGCTGAGAATTCCATTCTGTATTATAAGTGCTGTTTTTGGAATAAAGTAGATAATTGTTGGTATTAGATGGTTAGAGGCAGTTGGCAGGATGCCTTGGATCTAGGTTTCGTGCTAGTTGGCACTCATCAGTAAGGCGTATCTGCAACCTTGAAGGAACTGATGTCCCTTCTGAGATTCGAATCCGCGTCACCCAGTGCTGCAGTCAGAGACGTTATTATTATTATCGTTTCCTTTAATTCCTTGAGGAATATAGGGCTTCAGCCGAGCGTCTCCATTGCGTTCGGTTCTCTGCTAGAGTCTACACCCGGCTCCAAGTCTGCCCACATGCTTTCATCTCCTCTTCAATTAACCTCCTCCAAGTCAACCTTGCACTGACGACCAACTCACCGCTTCCCTTTCGGGTTCCACTCAAGCAATGGCTTGTCTAGTGATGTCACTTGATTGTTTCCTAAGAGTATGGCCAATTCATCTCCATTTCTTCCTGCCTATTTGGTTTACAATCGGTTCCTGCTGTGTTGGTTCGCTCATTGCCAGAGATCTCTGTTGCTGATCTTTTCTGGCCATCTGATCTTGAGTATTGAGCGAAAACAACTGTTAATGAAGGTCTGTACTTTGTTTGAGATGCTCTTTATGACGCGCCAAGTCTCTGATCCTTATGTTGAGTAGCACTGACTTCACATTGGAGTTGAAAATCCGGATCTTATTTTTGATGCTGAGTGTTGTTGACCTCCACAAAGACTTGCTTTTCCCGATTCTTGCTTTGATATCCTCGTAGTCAGAGACGTTACCACTGAGCTATTCAGGCTCGCCACTGACTTCCTGTAGGACTGTATTGGATATTTTTGATTACACACTAGTCAGTAACTAGTGTAATGTGTCTGGTCCTATCTTCGGTACCAACTGGCATGAAACCTAGGTCCAAGGCTTCCTGCCAATTGCCTCCAACCATCTAATACTAACAGTCCACAGTGCACCGTAATGGCGAGCCACCTAGCATGGTGGCCACATTGCAAACATGACTGATAGAATTCAGTCTGCACCGAAGTTCGGACTAGACACATTACACACTAGTTACTGACTAGTGTGCAATCAAAAATAAAGTAGATCATTATTATTTCTATTATCTCTCAAGGTAAATTTTGTTGCCTTAATTAAAATGACATTCACTTAATTGACAAGTGATTCTGTTAAGATTCATCTATCAATTAGAAAATGTGAATTTCACCAGTTTACACTATACTTACAAAAACTGCATACTCATGAGGTAGGTAAATATTATTGGTAGAAAAACTATTTTTAAACAAATATATATTTTCATTGCCTTTTTAATATTGTAGATCGTGTATTATTTGGTACAAATTGTGAAGAGCACAGAGCATACATTATTCACCGTTTTACTTGTTTGGATTCTACAGCTTATAATGTATGTGATATTCATTATTCTAATAAAGAATCTATGAACACCGTCATGAAATGGTGATGATGTGATGATGACGATAACAAATACCGACTTTTTAGATTTCGTTTTTGTACTTTTGAACAAATTTCTTTGCACTTTGCTTTTTCAGTGAATCAAGCGTATAATTGTTTTGTAATATTGCAAAAATATTCAATATGTTAAGTGTTAATATTTGTGAATCTTTAGTTTACATAACAAATTAACAGAATGACATATATATATATATTGATGACATACAACATAATCTTTATTAGCAGGTCTAGTAGTCTATCATTCTTGGAATAAAGCAAAACAGTGCCTTAAAAGCTTTTCTGATTTCTTGAAATAATTGTCATCATTGGAAAAATAATAGTTGGGGAAAGTCGGCTGCTCCTTTTAGGCTGAGCGTCACTCAAATCCTACAGTACGTTTCCAACGTTTATTTACTGGATCAAGATTTAGTGACTTGCGCTCACAGCTCGTTCTCATTCCGCGTCACTGTAGAGTAATAATAGATCAAACAGCCTGCGTCTGACAGTCTGAAAAAGAACAGAGGTGTAATATATTTTGTAAACAGTGAATAATTCTGTTATATAATGAATATGTCAAAGAACTTTGACCTGATTTTATGTATTGGATTAAAATAATTTCTCATAACGAAACAACAGTCATACTCATAGATAATCATTAACTGGTGATTACTGTATTAACCTTTGTTAGCTTCAAATTAACCAGTGAAGCTTGACGTATGAATGAATTTTGAGCATTAAAGGATTTATTCACTCTGATAAGAATTTGATAATGGAGTCCAGAAACAAATTCTTTCTCACATGCCATCATTTTAGATGAAGTTAGAGAAAAATCGCATATGCATATGCGATGAAATGAAACAGCAGTTGAATGTCACTTATAAAAGTGGAACTGAATGCCTTAGAGTGAAACATATTACAGACAACAAACTGATGTTTATAAAATTTCAAGATCGTTTTATTCCAATTCATAAGGTCGTCTTACATGAATTCTGACAAACAATCACCTACTTCTACGATTTTTCCTGAATGGTTAATTATTACCAGTGTAAGTCGCATCATCGAGGTGACTGCACATATGCTTTCAATGACAGATATCCACCCAGTCAATTCTTTCCAGGCCTAGATGACACAGAAAATCACACAATAGCCAAAATGGCACGTGATCCTTAAGAAACTATTTCAAATTTAACCATAACACTGGCATATATAGTCTTTGTATGTACAAGAATAAAAGAGTCACTAAAGTGGAACATTTGCCAACGAGTGGAAAGTAATCAACTATCCAAACTATTAGAAGGAAATGATATATAAATAAAGTAATTTTGAAGATTTGAAAATTCCCATTCAGTCATAGAAAAGAAAAGGCGTTCAGCAAAGAGTTACTCACTTTCCGCGATATCATTCTCAAGCTGTACAAACCGCAAATTTATAGTAATTTTTCTTGGCAACAAAAGGAATATTTCCAAAGATGTGTTAATGCAATTGTTAATTTTTGACAACAAATTACGTAATTTAGAAGGCGTTAATCGGTTAGAAACTGAAATAAAGTTACAAAAGTAGGTTGTGTGACGTAATCTAATTGCTAGGGTTCAATGAAAAATGAATGAGAGTCAAGTTAATAATCTGAGTAGAATTTACTTGAAAATGAATGAGAGTTAAGTTAATAAGCTGAGTAAAATTCACTTAAAAATAAACGAAAATGGAGTTAGCAACAGTCGTCATGAGAGTAGAGATTTAATAGAGGGTGGGGGTAGAAAATAATGCGATTAAGAAACAGACAAACAAAGAAGAAAGAGGTAAGACAAAATTACGTATCTGGTGTTGAGATAGATCAGGACCATTGTAGATTTAGTGACTGAACAAACTTCTTTTGTATGCAGAGTTCAGGATTCAATATGTGAATTGTCATTGCTTCTGCAGTTTGAAGAAGTTTAATTCGTACTCTTTTGGCAAGATTCCCATGTATTGTGTAGATAACTGAGAAGTTGTTTTGTGGTTTTGCTTGGTGTCCGGATTCGATCAAGTGTTCTAGGATACAGCTGTGGCGGGGGGATCTTTCTCCTTTATAAAACCATGAAGCTGATTCGTTTGGATAGCAACGCTGGATACGGCCGACATACCTAGCTGCACATGAGCAGGTGAATTGGTATATGCACATTGATGAGGCCCCCAGTGGAAGCTTATCCTTCACGTTCGTGCGAATCATTGGTTTCGTAGAGAAAGTTAGTCTGAGTTCAGCTGTGGAGAAGGTTCTCTTCAGTGAACGGCACAGGCGGTTTCTCAGTATTTCTGCTGAAGAATTTCCGTTGAATTGTAGATTCAAATAGAGAAGTTTCTTGGGAGCAGTAAGCATGGACGGTTTTTGTGTTTTGGGCTTCATGGCTTTTGTGATGAAACGTTTCGGGTAACCGTTTTCAAGGAGGATTCTTTTCAGGGTCTTCAGCTCCTCTTCTATAGTTTCCGGACTGCAAATGTTGTGGATTCTGTGAGTCAGTGAAAGGATTAGATTTCGTTTTGTATATAGAGGCACCCAGCTGTGAAAGCTGATGAGTTGTCCATTCCATGTCGGTTTTCTGTGAATGGATCTTTTGAGTGTTCCGTCTTGTTTGCGTCTTGCTAGTTGCACGTCCAGAAATTTTGAAGAGTGGTTAGAAAAATCAGTAGTGCATAACTGAGCGAATTCTTCAAAGGAAACTATGATTGTAATCAATTGGAGACAAAATTCAAATCATTGATCACTGAACATTCAAGATGAATTCTAATATTAGACGACTTCAATGCAATCACATTACAGTGTACAAATTAAGGTTTCTAAGTGTTAAAAATTACTTTGCAAATATCAATCGGTATCACATCAGGCAATAAGTATTATTCGTTGCTTCCGTCAATTACTAGTTCCGTATTAATTTGTTTATTAGATTTATCACACAGTGAAACAGTATTATTCACTGGATGACGTTTAGAACAAAATTTATTGTTCTTAATCATTTCATCAATCATAATCACACGACTTCGAAACTACAGTTTTATAGTTTTCTTTATTTTTTCCTGTTTGTCGTAGAGGTAGTAGAATTTCCCAGATGTCTGGGACTGGTATTGAATCACTACTATTACACGTGTTCACAGTTGATTCGATAAACAAAGCTTCTGTTATCAATCTCTCTCTCCACCCTGTTACGTTAGATTTTAAAACTGTTATCTTATCCCATCCATCTTATTGTATGGTTGTGTGTAATTGCATGTAGTGAGTGCTACAGCTGAACTATTCTGCAGGTTTCTTATCTTGTTCGGGTCAACTAATCTAGATTTTGCTAGGTTTTTACGTTCGGCTAGTCTGACTGCCCCTGTTCTACTAATTTGACTGATGTATTTGACCTGACAATCATCGCAGGCAGGGTATTAGATAAACTAAATTGTTTTGTTTTAAAAGCCCCACAAGATCCTTTAACCGACAAAGCTTGTTTCTAATTGAGTTTGTGGGTTTGAATGCTATTTTTATTCCTGTCTTGTTAAGAATTCTGTGTAAGGCTTCTGAGATTCCTTCCTTGTATGGAATTACTACTGATGATTTAGATTCTTTATTGTTGGTGTCGTCATTAATATTATTATTATTACCATTATTATTATCACTATCGCTACTCTCATTATTTATTTTATTTTTACATTTCCTTACATATTTCCTGACTAATTTATCAGGGTAATTATTAAGTTTCAAGGCTTCTCTTATATGTATCACTTCCTGTCTTAGATTTTCTTTGGTACTACTTAGTTTTTGTGCTCTGTCAATTAAACATTTCACCAATCCTATTTTTACTGACATAGGATGGGATGCTCCGAAGTCCAAATATCTGTTTGAATGTGTGGGTTTCCTGTAAACACTAGTGTTTAACTTCACATCTTCTTTCCATTTTACGCTACAATCTAACGTTGGAAGCTTCTCTTCCTGACTTTCCAATTGATAAGTGAATTGAACTGCCTCCAACTTTGAGTTGATGTGTTCGAAAAATCTACTTATAGATAGGAACAAGATAAGAAACCTGCAGAATAGTTCAGCTGTAGCACTCACTACATGCAATTACACACAACCATACAATAGGATGGATGGGATAAGATAACAGTTTTAAAATCTAACGTAACAGGGTGGAAAGAGAGATTGATAACAGAAGCTTTGTTTATCGAATCAACTGTGAACACGTGTAATAGTAGTGATTCAATACCAGTCCCAGACATCTGGGAAATTCTACTACCTCTACGACAAACAGGAAAAAATAAAGAAAACTATAAAACTGTAGTTTCGAAGTCGTGTGATTATGATTGATGAAATGATTAAGAACAATAAATTTTGTTCTAAACGTCATCCAGTGAATAATACTGTTTCACTGTGTGATAAATCTAATAAACAAATTAATACGGAATTGCATGCTACCACAGTGCCCAAGTTTTACACATATATTAATTTGGAGTTCATGTCACTATTATTACACTCCAACTGCAGTACAGAGTTTCTGTCTGGTGTTTGTATAACCATAAACTAACCATGGTAACTGATCTTCAAATGAAAATCCACTTCACTTTGTGAAAACTTCCTTATAGGATATAGTAGCAAACAGTTGTGCATTTCTAGTTTTCTGCCGTATTTACATCACATCAAAAGGAATCGCTATTTATGCCGCTAGCTAAGCGAGTATGAGCTAGCAGGCTGAAACCAATTTCAAGTATTTCTGATTACTAGACATTTATCAATCTGTTAGGTCAGGGTTGATATAAAACCAGGAGAACTGATGGAATTGTTAAAGGGTGTAAATATTTGTGAAAGTGACGTGTTCTTCTTCTACACATGTCAGAAGCCATCAGAATCCAAATAATCCGGCCTAACGTGTGCACACAGTTATCTTGACTGATAGAATTCAGTCTGCACAGAAGATAGGACTAGATACATTACACTAGTTACTGACTAGTGTTCAATCAAAAAAAAATACACAGTTATCTCCTTTATTTTCAATTGTTGTTTTGCAGGGATATGGATGACTCCGATTCTGATCAAGAAATGACTTCAGTTAGAGTGCCACTGTGAACCAGTGCGTATTGGACAGCTGTTCCACCTGTGACTGGGACATTTGCGTTCGTATTTTCCATTATCTTGGTCATCTTTACTGAATTTCCCCTTCCCTTATTCTATCTTCAATTTTTTATTGTTTTAAATATATAAAACAGTTCGACTGTTTGGCTGAAGGATTTCATCATGGGCTGACATCAGTTAAAGAACCAGTGGAAAACCTGTGAGTACTGGACAGCTGCTTCGTCCTGGTTTGGGAATCTTCATCAGTACGCACCCGCCGACAGAGTTTGAAACCAGGGCCTTCTGGTTACAAGGCGAGCTAGCTTGTAGACAATTAAGCCACTGGTCGGTTCGCCTTGTAACCAGGAGGTCCTGGGTTCGAATCCCGGTGGGTACGTACTGATGAAGAGTCCAAAACGGGACGAAACAGCTGTTCAGTACTCTCAGGTTTTCCAATGGTTCTCTAACTGATGTCAGCTCATAATGAAATCCTTTAACCAATCAAACAAAATCCCTACAAAAGCCAATACTTGAAAAATTTGATTGTTTATTTAATTTGCATGATGTTATTAAAAGGCTGCGTTTATCTGAGGAATATGGCGTAACTGTGAAATACATTTCACACATTTGCTAATCAATTCACTTTTTATGGAAAATGGAAAAATTAAAGCTCAAATGAAGTAAAATAATAAATGAGTTCAAAGTATGGAGGATAATAACTGACACTACTCTTGCTGATACAATCAGATGTGCATTACGAAGATTATTGATCGCTATTATTATCTACTCTTTATGTTCCAAGTGGAATATAATTATCCAGCAGTCTATATCCATTTTACTCGGTTCTCTATCATCACTTTCAGCTGCCCATAAACTTCAGTTTCATTTTTAAGTGATTTTCTGCCAAATCCCAAGTCGTCCCTTCTCCTTCATGTTTCAGTAGACGGTTTACTTGTGATGTTTGCTTAATTAATCTTAATTCAGTGTGTGTCCAGTCTATGCCTATTTTCTTCTGCATATTTTCTGGGTAGTAGGTTCTTGGCGAGTTGGTTGCTTTCCAGAGTTTCTATGTTGTTCACCTGTTCTGGCCACCTGATCTTCATTATCACTGCAGACGAACCTAGTGACTCAGTGTGACTAAGCGAAGTGACATAGACTAGGGTAACAGTTAAGTGTTTTTGCATTCATAAAGAGGATCTAATTTTAAGGAGAGCTGCATCAAAAGCTCATTTTGTATACTCTCCCATCGATCTTTATGTACAATCTGATAACCATGATATAAACATAATGCAATTTGACAACGTTTAGGAGGTTGTTGTCGTGAGTAAAGGTGATTATAAGTTTAAAATGTTATCTGTTCTTTTTTGATGAAAGTAAATTCACCCGAGTTCTCTTTTCAGAAGATTTTCAGTTATTATAGGAGGAAGTGATGGTTGATTCTGTGAAACTTCTTAGCCTAAATGTTATAAGCAAAGATGAATTTGACTCTATCGAAGCGACGGAATGTGAATTTCCACACATATTTGGTTTATGTATAATAAACAAACACAGACATTTTCTACGTCAACACATAAATTTGCTCAGTGGTTTGTGGAATTATTAGACACAGTCAAAAGGAAATTCCGTTAGTATGCAATGAAAGATACATTTGAACTGACTGATTACCCAGATGGTATTAATATTGAAAATAAAAGTGTGTATTTCATTCGATGTGAACTCTTTATTCATCAATGTACCCTTACTCAAAGCAACTGACCTTTCATGTGATTACACATAATTTCCTAATCCAGTTTCCTCTGTCTGATTTAAACTATTTATTGGTTCTTTATTCTAGTAGTGGAAGGCTGAAGGTGATTGTTTGTAAGATTATTGGTGTTGCTATGGAAGGCCCGTTGGGGTCCTTTTTAGCAGATATCTGTATGTCGTATTTGAGAGTTTACAGGAAGAGTTAGCAGAAGAAGTACGACTTTACACAGGATACGTAGATGACACTTTAATAACACGTGACAGTTCTATATCAAATGAATGAAGTGTAAAATAGGGTATCATTTACATCCTTGTGAAGAGAAAGACAACTGTTTATACTCCCTAGGTATACTTCTCGATCCACGTCCTGGTTGGTAAATACAATGATCTATCCACAGAAAACCTATCTAGACAGAAAAATACCTTTATCACCAAAGCTCCTCTCTTGTCCAGAAAAAAGGCAGTGATGTGGTACCTCTTTGGTAGGATCCAATGAATGTGCGCAGAAGACAAACTTGAAGGTGAGGAAAGAATATTGACAAAATCTCCGGTTGAAAATAATTATCCGGGGAAGTTCATAAGGAGATATAAAGCTGTCAAAACACCAAGAACCCCTCTCCGAATCTCCACTAAGGAGGATATTAGTGACCATAGGAGCTAGATACTTCAAGACAAAAAGACTATAGAGTTTAGAACCGGATAACTGCGAATGTGGTGATTATTCATCCATCTAAGCTCTTAGAAAAAACGGAAAACAGTGTTACATTTCACTATATCTATCAGTTTAGATGTATGTGTTGTTACACATACATAAAGAGGTCTCACCGATCTTTAAAAGTAACGGCTTCAGAGCACATCCTTAGTTGGCTTCAGGAGCAAATTGAATCCCTGTAACCCATTAAATGACGAAAACAGATAGCGCAGTTCTCCCATTTAGAAACAAATTATAGATAATATACATAAATGCGATGTTTATATCTCTCTGAAATCTATCTATTATGCATGTTTTTGGTATATATCAAGGTTTGTGAAAGCCACCTTTATGTGTTTTTAAAAAAGAATTCATCATCACATTTAACCTTCTTTAACAAGTTTTATCCGGATATCGGGATAGACAATGTATGCCAACGGAATATTACTCTCACATATTCCCATAGTTCAATTCGGCATTAACAACAGAATACGACATATCTGTTTGAACGTTCTATTTGATGTTGTTCGATGTAAACCGTAATCACACTCTCAGTGATTGGTTAAAAAATATAAACTGTACATATATAAACAGCGCTTTGATCAATGGAGAATATACTTTGGCTCCCGTGTCTTGCCTTCTGCTGTCACACTATTATTTCCCTTCTTTGGTTTGGTTTGATCTCCATTGTTATTGTGACCTTTATCTATTCTCTTTCCCCTTAACTCATTATTTGCATATGAATTCCTACAATAAGTATGTGTGGGGTCAGAGTATTCGAAATCTGTTGCTCAAAAACATTAGATCGTTTAGATAAATTATGTCTTCTCATTGTTTTGTTGAATTATTTCTTGTCTCAGTTTATTGGGGATCGAAATGAAAAGGATGTTTTCTGTCCTATATTTACCCCTAGGTGTTCAAGCGTGACATGGAGATCTTATGAATATATGAGATGAGAGACCATGGACAATGGTGGACTTCAAAAAAATAAACAGGATCAGAAGGAGATGTGTTGTTGAAGTCCTATGTTCCACTCTGAACCTTAAGGGATTATATTCAGTAATAATAATAGTTTAATTATATTTCTGACTAAGAGTGCATTCTTTATGGAATGGACAACTATCTTTATGGAAACACATTGTGCATATCGCTTTTTTCATTGTTTCCTCTATATCACTGACTTGAAAGTTCGGTTACCTTAAGTACCTTAAGTGGGACCACTACAATCCGATCTGCCGACTAACTTACACAATCAGTAATCTACATTTTACAGAGTACTTGTTATTCTTGAAAATATTTTAACACTTCTCGATTTGATTGATAGGGCTTAAAGTGAATTTCACTCTGAATTTTACCTTCATATTTGCGTTAAAATTCCAGTGGCTGATTCAGTTGCATTGACTCTACTGGAAAAATTCCCAGAGAACTGTGTATTACTCAGTGCACAGTTCACAAGCTGACATCTTTTATAAACAGCAGTTGGGAAAGTCACCACGGGAATTAACAACTGCTCATTATGTAGTGATATAAACTTAGATCAAAAGAAAACATTTTAAACCTAAGTTTAAGTATGTAGAAAATTAGACAAAGTACAGTCTAATACATATGAGTGACATTTATGCCATGTAATAAAGTCAGTTAAGCTTAATGTTGTCAGAATGATCTGCGTGATGTTATGCACAAAAATGTGTTCACTACTGGCTTATTGGGTTACACTAAAAAATATTTGTAAATTTTTAATAAAGCCTTGATGTATCTCTAAAACCTTTGCGTGTATTACAGTGTGCGTGTGTGTGTATATATATGTGTCAAATTTGAAAAAAATACTCTATGCATAACGTATACAGCTAAATAAAAAATGGAAAATGGATGGAGATTAAATACACACTGGAAGTATAATTCAACTTGGACATCCAGAGAAAAAAAAACAGACAAACAATAAATTATAAACCTAAATCGAAACAGTTTTGAAAAATTTACTAACGTATTTTAAAGTTTACAGTGTAAGTGTGTAGCTGACTGTTCAAATCCATTTGGTCACGAAAATGGTTCTAACTTCGCACACACACACACACACACACACACACACACACAGAAATCTGTGAGTTTTGAAGGTAGAAGTACTTCACATTATTTTCACAAGTCATCACAACGATTATAAATAATTACTGGCTTATTTTTTTTCGAGTTGTTGTTAGTTGTATTTTATCATAAACAAATATTTGTGAAAGTTGTAAATTATAATAAAAAAAAACAACTTTTTTACAAAAAAAGTGCAGTCATGTTCTTTTGTGCTGTTTCATGCCCTCAGAAATGTGAATATAAACCCTTGAAATACTGAATAATAACAGTTTCAGTGTTTGTCCTCTTCACTGCAATGATGTATCGCTTATATTTATTACGCAGTAGTATATGGGTAACACTGCTGCTTTTGAATGCTGAAGGATTAAGTAAGTTCATTTTTGTCAATGTAGTAATAGGGCACGACTGTATTTCTAATGTGATTTATAATAATAGAAGTTGATTGTTATGTGTTTGAATGCTGTCGAGTAATGCCTAAAAACACTGTGTTGTAACTGATGTCATGTGTGTCTAGTCTTTCGTCCGACATGGACTGAATTCTATTAGTCAAGTGGCTAGATGCCAATCGGTAGGAAATCTTAGACCTAGATTTCTTATTTGTTGGAATTCGATTATGGATAAATTTTGTTTTGATAAAGTCTCACAGTGTTATACAGTAATGTTTACTGGTGACGTTTCGAGCAAAATTTATTACTGCTCATAATCATATCAAGGTAATCACACGACTTCCTAAATTCATTTATATACTTCCATTGTTTTTCACTTGATTTTCACTTGATTTGATTGGTAGTTATATTTTTCATATTTAGAGTATGAGTGATGAGTCATTCCTATTGCATGTGTTGGGTGTATATTCGATGAACAAGGATTCAGTAATCAACCTCTCTCGCTCTCCACCTACCTAGATTACTTTTTAGAATTTTAACCCTCTCCCACCCTATTGTGTGGTTGTGTGTCAATGCATGCAGTGCAATGTAGTGCTGAGCTTTTTTCTAAATTACTTATCTTCTCGGGGTCAATCATTCTTACCTTAGCTAAATTCTGACTACCGTTGATATAAGAATAAAACCTTGATTGATATAATAATAAAACCTTGATATGGTTATGAGCAATAAATTGTGCTCGAAAGGTGGTCATCAGTAAATACTACTGTATAACACTGTGAGACTTTATCAAAATAAAATTTACCCATAATGGAATTACACTCTACCACAGTGCACAAGTTTTATTCTTATATTGTTGGAATTCGTTTAGCAAGGCGTATCTGCAATCTTGAGGAAACTCATGTCCCTCACTCGAGTGCTGTAGTCAGAGATGTCCCCAGTGAACTATTTAGACTCGAAGACCACCTAATTTTGACAATGGCTTTATTTAATAGGGAGTAGAAAATTTTCTAAATGACAGAGAATTGTAGACTATCAGCAGCTGAGATGAAAAGAAAACATTGCGACACAAATAATACAAAGAGTATTTATCTAACTGAGATATTATTATTACTAGTTGAGGTGATTAGCGACTGACATTTCTCGTTGACTAGAGTCAGCGGATTTTTATTTCTTACTTTATTTAGAAGCATAAGTGTTGACGATTATATTTTGTGGGTTGTCACTGAATTAGCGTTTGATGATAAATTATTACTTCAGAGACTAATGGTTTAAACTCTGTCATTCCTGCCACCACCCCATCACCCTGGTTTTCATCTTACGTTCGTTGATCACTCATTAGATTAATAAGAATAATACCTTCTTTATTCTAGAAATTATTGCTAAAACGCAATACAGAATTGGGAGTGCAAGTTCTTACTCACCTTGTAGAACCTTCAAGTAAATATTCGTCGACATTATACCACGTGACTTAGTCCTCTTCAACATTTATCCTTCTTTCCTTCTTGAATTCCACGTCGGTAGGTTGGAAGATGTGCGTCGGTGGCACAGTGGCAGAATGCTCGCCAACCATACATGTGGTCCAGAGTTCGATCCCCGTTCGACGCACTCCTTTACCTCGCTAAGCCAGTAATAAGACTGGTAAAGAGGGAAGGTTAGGCATGAAGCTAGCAACCCCATCCCGTAAAAATAATAAACACCACTGTTACCGAAACTTCAAGGCTGTAGCTTGAAGCCCTGTGTTCCACTGAGAACTTAAAGGAATAAAAAGGGTTGGATGATAACTGAAAACTAGCCTGTGTTCATGTTGCCGGTCTCTCAATCAAAAGCCATTGTAAATCACTTTCATCAGTGACATAGACAAGTCAACCATTATCGCCTATAATCACTCAGTTTAGAATTCGTTATCTGAGTTCCCGATGATATTTAAAGACTTCTTCAACTGTATACTCAGGTAATAAGCATAATAGCATGAGATTTATGGCCGTAATAATTTCTGCATACAGTCCTGAGGAAACATATTGTTCTATCGCATATTGAAGTTACAGGCTTTAGGAATTATAAGTCAAACTCTAAATTAGGTCAGCTTATTTGATACAATAGATGGTGTTGCAGTACTAATAGCCATATAATTGTGTATGGAATTATATTCTGTCACCCAGCCTAGATTCTACTCTACACTAAAGTTATGCTCCATGCAGTTATTCATATAATAGACTTAGACAGAGTCTATTTCTGTCTCAGTGTCTGATGCCTTGGATATTACAATGAAATATACATTAACATGATCTGTATTCATTCAAATGAAAGTAATAAATATATTTTCTTAGAGAGCTTACTTTCAGTCATCTAAGAAGTGCGTAATTGGTTAAATTACACAGGCTTTGGTTATGAATATTGCCTCTTGGAATGAAATACTTGTATTTCCCTCCTTTTCCAGAGGGTAATGAGATGGAATTTCACCTCAAACTGTAAATCCAATACTTTAAATAATATTTTAATGATTAATTGGTGGGTGGTGACAAGCAATGGAATCCAGGATGCGCATTTCGTCCTATTTGGGACTGGTCATATGGATGTACCTCGGTGGGAACATCATCACTCCCTGCGGAATGCAGGGACATCCAGATGACGAGTCCCGAATTAGGCAGAATGCTCATCCTGGATTCCACTGCCAGTCACCCACTATCTACCAATTAACTTGTGAATACATGCCTAGACATCGTCGAAGCATCTGCACAAGAAGCCGACGCGTTAACCTGAGACCGAGCACTTAGGTCCAATCAATCGACGGGAAAATCTAAAACTGAATTAAATATTTTAATGGATTTAAAATTTTTTCAAACTATTAAAAGTGAACTTGGTTTGGACATATATGATTTAAAATAATCCAGTTATATTATTATTATTATACTTATTATTATATACTTATTATATACTTATTCATTATTATTATTATTAGTGTCATTACTTTTCTTAACTTCTAACCTAACTTTCTAACTATACGATAAATCAGTCTGAAGTATTTGGCACTGAAATGATTGAACTGGATATAGGCAGTAACCTTTTGAAGAATATTAATTGACTTATGCACTGAATTCTTTGCTCTTTATGATCTGTTTTCATAGTGGTTCTTTTACAGTTCGTCAGTAATTATATGACTTTACGTCTTGTAACTTTATCTTCATGGGAGGGAATTGCATCAGTGATATTTATTAGAATCAAAATGGGTTTAAAAGCTTTTCACAATAAATTTTACAGTTTTGAGTGTTTGTAACCAAAATTACGTAGGAATAAGCATCCTTAACTTTATTGCATCAGTGTATGCTGCTACTTCATACTGTTAGAGCTTTTGTAAATCAAACTATTGTTTAGTGGTGATATAAGCTTGTCTTACCATTATGGAAAAGGGTTGATAGATCGGAGACTCCAAAGACAGATATTTTGCTTATTGGCACATAAAAGTTAATTTGGACAAAGAAAGTTATTGTAAATAAATTCTCTTCAGACGTATACAATTACAAAATATAATGTTTTTCGTTACAGTAGTAGCCAGTTATGTAGCACAAAATATTTTTATCTAGAATGATATATTTAGTTATAGGGTGACAAAATTCCTTCTCTTTTTCAAGAGTGGCTTGTCCTCTTGGCTCTCTCCTTTTTCCTTTGCTCTGTTTATTATTTTTACTTTATTTAATCTTCGTCCTAACACTTTCGGCTACAAGGTTCTATAATTCATATCCTTTATTCTAGGACTCTTTCAACATGGGGTTCCAGTGGGAAGTCGTAACCAGTAGGGTGCAGCCAGTCGGGTGTGAGGACAAATACACGCCGAAGACATTGGCCAGCGGTCGCGCTATATCGGGAATTGGCAGAAGTTAGAAATCATGGGCCACTGGATCGGGTCCCAGTGGCTGAATGGTCTATGAGCTCGCCTTGTAACCAGAAGGTCCTGGGTTCGAACCCCCGTGGGTGCGTACTTCTGAAGAGTCTCAAACTAGGAGGAAACAGCTGTTCAGTACCATCAGGTTTTCCAGTGGTTCTCTAACTGATGTCAGTTCATGATGAAATCCTGTAACCAATCAATCGAATCCTTACAAACCAATACTTGAATATCATTTTATATCAATTATTAGACTGCAAAACATTGATACAGGCCAATGATAATTATGTTGTGTGCTATAGTAATTACTGTTTTTATGAAATACAATAGTATGTAGAGTCGAAAGTTAGTTTGCCACGCATGGCTTTACCAAAAGCGTTGTAAGACATAACCCCCGAAAGAATGAGACTGCTTCCTCATCATTTCAATGTAATTGTTAAATGGAAATATTTAGAAGTCATTCATGCCATTGTAAACTCGTAATGCATATTGTTAGATAACTGAAATGTGATATTTTTTATGATTGTAGACTTAAATTTCGCTCTTCTGTTATAGGATATCAGCAGAGTGACTCTTCTGAGTTGTATGAAAATGATAGTGATGTTCATGGTGACGAACGTGAAGATGATCAGGGTTTATTTAATAAGGATGACGAATATGTAACTTTACAAGAAAATGATACGAAAGGTTAGCTGTTCTATGGTTTACAGTTTCTTAACTTAGGAAACTTATTTTTTGGCATGCAGGATTGTAGAATGAACTCTCCAGTGTCCATTTTAGTTTCTCCAGTTGTTTTACTTTACTGGGTACTTAAAAGGATTTCAGTGGGAATTCGATTGTTTGTTGGTTTTTAGTCATTTTTAGTACACTAGTCCCAAGTAGAATAAAATGAGTGTTTTGAACTCAGCTGTAGCTGTTAATAAGCAAAACAAAATTATGTAATAGATCAGGCTTTCTGCTTTTATGGTAGGCGTTTCATGTTAGGCAGCCCAACCGTAATCTGTTAAACAGTTTCAGTTACTTTGAGCGTCGCGTTTTAAATTAACTGACTACAACCTATCAACCATCTCTTGCTTGTCAACTTTGTCTTCTGCCGAATAAGACTCAAACTATATAACGAGATCTTCATTCCGGTAAAGTTACTACAGGTTGCTTTCAGATGTCATTTGAATGATTGGCATCCAGTAGTCTGTTGAACACCATCACACTCATCGGGTAACCACATATAGAATTCGTAATCATACTCCATGAAAAAGCCGGGATAGGTTGCAAGCGGTTGATAGGACTACCTGTGATAGCTATGGATTATAGAATGATGATAATATGATTGATGTGTGTCATCACTACTGGATGCGGATTTTAGTACCTCTTGATTTTAGCTATAGACGCCTTTGACTACTGATGATCCACTCAAATGAGCATTATATTTATTATTATTTATTTCAAGCTTAAGATCTGAAATTTCAGCAGCGGTGATTTTTACAGGATGGGGTTGGTAGACTCTCTCCTGGCCTCCCCTATTTATCAAGCTTACTATCGGCTGAGTCAGGTTTCAGAGTGCGTCATTCGGTGGTCAAACCCCTGACATTTGGGAATAGTATCGTTAAATTATGGTTGAGAGGTAATCCAGTTAGCAATTCTATATCACTGTCTACTTTGCTGAATTCATCTTTCTAATGCAGAATTATATCCTACTAAATTATTTAGATTTTACTTCTTAACTTCAAAAATAGTTGATAATCCTCTATTTGATCCAGCACTTTCAGTTAACAGCTAAGATTTTCTGCTGCACATGGACCCACTGTTTCAAAAATGTTTCTCTTGTAGTGACAGGCAGTATTCTATCTCGTCTAAATCACAGTATTCATTAAATAGTGACCTCAGGCCTGCATGCCACTAATTTATTATGGATAAATATCCTCTATTACGACAGAATAAAGTGGTCAGTTTATTTTACTTCGTAGTGGATTCCATTCATTTGTGATTAGATTTTAGCAAAAATTAAAACTGTGAAGTAGAACAAGTGTAGAGGTATACAGTAGTTTCTCACAATGTAAATTTTCTAATAGGATAATCTCATTTTAATAATTACAAAAATTTGAAGTATGACATACCAACCTGGAAAGGTATTATTAACTAGATGAAGTGAAAAGCTGCAGGTAAACACCGTCTGCATGTACAATAGTAATCAAGAGAAACCAAAACGTAAGTTCTTGTTTAAGTTATGTGATGGGAGCTAAAGTAAGAAATTGTGACGGGTTTAAATGCAAATAACTTGTACGTTGCTCAGTGTATTACCTAACCTCAGTTTAAAAGGTGTATTTCCAGGTGGTCTCTGACTAACCACATATTTCACTCAACTTTGATTTCTCAGGTGGACTTCATAACCATCAGGGTCTAGCTAGATGGGGTGAAGGGAATCCTTATCAAGTGGATTCTGTAACAACTACACAAGGGAGTGAACAGGATCAAGAGAAACTCACTAGCATAGGAACTTCTGATGGCGAAGAAAACGAAGAAGAAAAAGTGAAAGATAATGAAACAGAGGTATATGAGAGTGAGGAACCGGTTTCAGAGAAAAATAAAGTCGAAGAAGATTCAGAAGGTGAGTTAAAAATCCTTTTACACTAGCGTAAGCTTTCGTAATGATCAGAATTACACTCAATAACACAATATGGACTTATTCTTTATTTAATACTATTTAATTGAACCCATACATAACTGTCACTCTCGTCTAATTTTTTATTCCTGTCGCACTAACGAGCTGTCTGTGAATGCATAACGATGTAACTGTTAAATATGAACACTTAACTAGCTGTACAGCGTCAATAATTGGACTTTAGAAGCTTACCAGTAGAAAAACAAATTTCAAAATACGTAACATAACTGTTGATACTCATGTGTCAGAATATATTTTCAAGCTTGAGAAAACGCTTATTTTATTGCATTATTCATATAGAAGTTTTTGGAAAAGTTGTACTACTAAAATGTGTCCACTTGAAACATTTAAATGTACAAAACACCAAATACTTCTCACTAGTTAATCGAATCATTCAAATTAACAAATGAAAGTTCTCTTGCAATGTCAGACATTTTTAGTGAAGCTTTGAATAACACAATCTGCTAGGAAGCTTGGTAATTTACATGCCTACATAATCGAATAATTCTTTAATAGTTATATCTCCATTCTCCTATCAAAATTTTCTCTGGTCTTAGTAAATGCACAGTGAACTTTCAGCCTCATTATAAATGAGAGTAATGCATTAATCATCAATCTGCCTGAGGGGAAGGGGAAAGAATATGAATTCTGGATAGATTTAACTCTCGTGTGGACAAGATTAACCCTTAGGGTTTGTAACAACGGATTCAATCGTATTGATAACCTTATTTACTGCAGTCATGGACAGAATAAGTCCTATGAAAAAGGAATTATCAGAAAAGTTATGAAGGAATACTGGAGAGAATAAATACTGTTATCAGTTACTCACTGTTCAGATGAAATGAAAACTCATTTACTCCAAGGAACTTTTATTTTTTTAACGGTAACAGTTTCTTCAACTGTGATTTATATAAGTGAGAGTTAAGAATTCGGTCAAAATAGCAACTAGTTAATATGCTAGCTTATCCTAGCACAGTTAAGATCTCTCTTGTTTGTGGTTAAGAAGTCTACCCCAATCACATTACTGCAACCGGTGCATGTTTGCATTGTGATTTGAAAAATATTCTGTAGCTTTACTAAATAACAGTACTTAGCAGGATTTAACCTTTAAACGTTACTGTCTCTTTCTCCTGGTGATTTTATCATCAATACCATGCGTTTTAGATAGTGAAAGGCACAGAAGGGAACAGAAATGCACTAACACTTTGACAGACAGAGTTATATCATAGAAATTACAGTTTTACCGCAGTACTTTACCCACACAACTTACGTGGATCTATGTAACTGAGTAAAGCAACCAGTGACTCCATAAATATTTGCTGTTGATATGGTAGGGCTATTATTACTGAAACACATTCAGACCAATTGGAATTACAGTTTTTGTAGTGAGACGAAAACGTTTCGGGAGATTATCGCTCCTTGTCTTTTGAATTATTTTTAGAAAATGTGTTGTGGAACATGTGTAGTGGACATGAGTTTGGAGTTGACATTTTATTCCACCATTAGACATTTTAAATCTCATCTTGTGCTTGTAAAATGGAGGAATGCTTTGGCGATTTGAAAACTCATCAACACCAAAGTCTTTGCATGCATAAGATTTCTGGTTCAGTGGACTCCACGTTGTTGTTGAATTTTCAGACTCTTTTGGCATATAGCTAATAATAACTCTATTAAGCGTTTTATGAACACGTTCTCCATAATATTTCAACATTCTATTGGTATAATGTCACTCAAATATAGAACAGACAGCTTTGATCTGTCGGCTTCATCAAAATTATGGCTACTCCGTGCTTGCATAGAAATCAATAATCAGTGTGGTAGTTAAACCTTTCAGTGTCTACATTGATTATCTTTATTCCCTATCAGTTAATGTTATGTGACACAGACATCAGAAGCGCACACATTTTTACTCCATTTTTTTAAATTCAATAAAAACAGTATGGTGTCTGATTCTCAGTGAGCGAAAGGGAATATATCCGTGAATAAATGGTTTATATTCAAGCGAATATAGAGAAGACAGAGGTGATGAAGATAATTAACTAACAACAATAAACAGCAGTCACCGTCAACGGGGGAAATCTTAAGATCACCTTTTCAGTTTAGTCATGCATCATCTTTTCAAATACAGGTGGCATGGATGGGGATGTCGAAGCCAGCCAAGATCAGAAAGGCAAGCCAGTTCATCACTAAGCTGTAATCAGTTTTCAATTCTACTGTGTTAAGCATAAAGAACAAGTTTCGGATTTCGAAAATTAGTATCAAGTCAATCAGTTCTTCTTAGTGGTTCAGAGACTTGGCGTGCCCACGAAACACATCTTGAACAGGCCTCAGACCTTCATCAACAACTGCCTTCACGAGCTCCATACTGAATGTCAGATGGCCGGCTGGAACGGATTAGCAAAGTGGAACTCTGTTAACGGACCAACCAAGAACCTGTAGCCCAGCAAATATGGAGAAGGGAATAGTGATGGATCGGGCACCCCCTAAGAAGACCGTTTAAGTGACATCGTGTTTCAAGCCGCCGAGTGGAACCGAAACAGGAAACGACAGTTTGAGTATCCTAAGACGATGTGGCGGAGTTGGTGTGCGCAGGAGACGAAAGCTTATGAGCAACCACGGAGCCAGCTGATGAGGGCTGCAGTGAACAGAATGAAATGTTCCTTTCGAAAATCGAAGGAGCGGTAATAATAAATAAAGTCGAAGATAAATGATTATTTAATAGATAAACTAAAATATTCTGAGTGCTCAAGTTCTTATAGGATTACAGCCTGTCTGAAACAGTTCAAAGGTGCCTCTGCAGCTCCTTTAGATAGGAATATACGGCTGTTTCGTGTTCTTCAACGTTGGAGTCAGAAATGTTTGTGAAATACTTATTTTGCATGCTTAGGATATGTGTTCTACGCATTTGGGCAGAATGTGTAAATATTAATCAAGATAAGTTGTGGTGAAAAGATATCCGTTTAACTGAATCTAACAGTTAAGTTATTCCTCACAAGAAACAGATGAGATAATTTATTTGCTCTAACTTTATGAAAAGTTACCAGCTTCATAGGTAGGTTAAAGGATTAAATTAGTGAATTCGTTCGTATACACAGCGAAGTTCTGCACGGGCTTATTTGTGATTTGTATCGCTTGTCAATTCATTTTTGAATGTGGTACTGACAGTCATTTACAAAAGAATATTAACACTCACAGGAATGAGTTTCAACTACTTTTCGCTTATATCTGACACTAACATAACTATAAAAAAGTCATTAACATACTTTAATATAACATGCAATTTAGTAGTCATTGTAATTCATTACAGAACATCATCATGACGGACTGGTCAGTTGGGGAAGTTCTGGTGAAAGTGAAGAAGATGAAGCCTCTGTGACAGATCAACTTCTTGATGACTATCCACAAATAAGTGGTAAGATATTTTTTTTTGGTCATATTTTCCTTGGAAAAACTAAGAGGATGATGCACAGTTTGTCAGTGTGACATAATTAGAAGTTAATACGAATTTGTTTCATTTTCTCACATGGAAAATGTGATCGAATGCTCGTTTAAACATACTGACCTAAACATGGCAGTTTCGGATTTAAAATCAGTAAGCTTAGCGGCTGCACTGTCGAAGGAAGTTTCTTCTGCTAAATTCACTTTAAACAAAGGGCTGTTCATAACTTGATTGTGATTTTAACCACGTCAGGGTATTCACTATATAGCACTCATTGAATGTTGGTTAAGGAGATTATCTGTCTTGAGAAGTTGCTCGCACTGTAAACGCAGAAGCTTAAGTAATTTGTTAACCAACTCATTTTAAGTAACGATTACAACTAAGTGTCGAAGATAAACTTCCAGGAAAGTGTATATAGTAAATACTAATAAGTTAAATGAATTGAGTATATTTTCAGCGTTTGACGTCGCGTACATGTTATCGAATTCCAAACTTCAAATCTTTGACAAAATTATTGAAGAATATTATCAACAATTGGTATACCAGTAAAGCTTTGAACGTTATTTCGATATTTCAGACAATGATTCCCTTTTATAGATTTGAACAAAGAAAGAAGAAACATTCGCACAGAATAATCTGGATCCATTTTATTTCGTCGGTTCTCATCAGCTGCGTACAACCTGAATTCTTTAATAAAATAAAAAAGTGTACAATTATAACAAACTTTTGTTCATTAGCAAGCATATTGTCAGAGCGTCACAGTGAAATAAGGCGTTGCAACTTACAAAGTGTCTAAAGTGTTGCGACATATATATAATTAAAAAATTAATTAACAGTTGTGTTGTTGGGGTGGTAACAAAAGAAAATTAGTAAGAATTACGTAATTAGAGAAGATCAAAATTTAGGTGCTCATGAGGTCAGATGAGAAGTTGATGATGTAATACGGTGAGCAGAACTCAGAAGATCAAGAAAAATTATCTCTTAAGAGAGTCAAGCGAAAAATAAGGGGGGGGTGAGTGAGTTAACTTATCTTTTCACTCACCCCCCCCCCATTCATTAATTGATTTTTTCAAGTTCAAGAAACTTCTTTCTAACAAGATATATCTATATATGTCGCAACACTTTAGACACTTTGTAAGTCGCAACGCCTTATTTCACTATGACGCTCTGACAATATGCTTGCTAATGAACAAAAGTTTGTTAAAATTGTACACTTTTTTATTTTATTAAAGAATTCAGTTTGTACGCAGCTGATGAGAACCGACGAAATAAAATGGATCCAGATTATTCTGTGCGAATGTTTCTTCTTTCTTTGTTATTTTGATATCTGGATAATTATGTTATACTGGACATCCTGCGTCACGATGTTTACACTGAATTCATTGACATACAGGATTCATACTGTACGGAAAAGTATTTACTGCTGTACCAACAAGAACGAGAACAAGCAGGTAGACGGATACATCATAAAATTTGATATTAATATGTAAGATGTGTGTAATTCTTTAAAATTCTAAGCCTCATACCTACCTATGATCTACAGACTAATCCACTAGAAGACAGATAAGTAGGAAAAATGGAGTCGGATGTTGTAGACTTCCACTAAACAAAGGAAGGCAGTGCATAAAGTGAGTGTAGTGCTTGACTTTGGATCGGGTCCAGGTAAAAATTTGTTCGCTTCATGTAATCTCTGAACGTTATCACCTGAAGCTTTGAGATGTTGATTCTAAAAGCGCTTTGTGAACTGCAGCCAAAAAGTCCCTCGAACTAGAAATCAATGATTTGATGAATTGTTTACTATTAGCTTTCTTTTGCAGTGGATTTATACTTTTTTTTCACTGTTATACGGTGACTTCGTTTTCCCTCAGGCTACTCTTAAAGTCTGAAGAATGATAGTAATGAGTTATCTCACTTCTCAGCTTTACTGGGCATAATTTACCTTTAACTACAAAAGTGATGGTTTAGCAGACATTAATTTAACCACAAAATAACGATCAAATGATGTTCTTGGTGTGTGAATAGGCACCAACTGGCTTATATGAAGCATAACTTCAGTTACTCAGTTAATGGTGCCGAGCAATGGAATCCATGAAGTACCCTTCGTCTTATTCAGAACTCGTCATCTGCATGTACATGTATTTTGAGTGCACCATACTGTTTGTCTTTAGACTCAAACTCAGCACACACGTCACATAACCGAAATTATCCTAAAGATTCGGAATGATGAAACTGAAATGTACAGTGTGAAACAGCTGGCATTCTCTCCGATTTCATTAATTGTTGTTTGTAAGGACGATCATCTTCAAAGAGTGAATTAGGTTAACTTAATTGTTACAGTTCATTTATTCCTGTGGTATTTATTTATTTACTTAGATGACAATAGTACACCTGAATACGAAAGTGAATTACAGTCTGTAAACGTCACACTCAATAAAGAGTCAACTGAATCAACGTCAAGTATGACAACTGTGTCAACATCAAATCAAACTGACAGCCATCATCATCATCACCATCATCATCATGATCATAATCAGCATGAAAACATTGACGACGAGGATAACAGTGATACTTCATCTGACAAACACCATATTGACCATTTAGTTGACCCATTATTATCAGATCTCTATTTAGGAAACAATCATTCAGCAGTCCCAACGCAGATAGACAATGAAACTGATGTGTCGAAAATTGAATCAGCCTGTAGAAAATGTATTAAATGGCAGCAATTGCATTCAACTCTGCCATGTATATTATATCCATTAAATTTCAATACACCAGATCAAGTCAACCAAACAAAACTGGTTTATATACATGTTATGAGAAAAGTAGTTGCTCAAATAAACAACAGTCTGAATGAACTGTTGCTAGACCTGGAGCTGTGATCAATGTCCTACGTCTAAACATGATTCGAATACTTCTGATTAGTGAACAATATTAATATTGTCTGTGTTCTTTTTCTAGAGTAAATAAACTTTAATTATACTTGTCTATTTAATATACAATATAAGTAGTATAAATTTAAACAGTAAATTTTCGATAAATAGTGACATTTTGTATTATTCTGTACTGATTGGTAATATAATAATGAAAAATAACAGTATTTCTTGTTTGTTATACTCACTAAATACCACCCTTTGTCTTATCTGGCTACCAGTTATGGTTCCATTGTCGAATATACCTGTTCAGCTTAAGTTAGAGTTTAATGTAGGTTAACTGAATTCCCAAATGAAATCGGTTATTCATTAGCGTCTTTCTATCTGTTTCGCCACTACAGCTTAGTGTTTTATGTTCATCGAGATGAAAAATCTGAGGCTTCAAGATAAGAACGTATCTGCGTAAGGAAATACTGATTGCACACTTAACGGATATCGTATGCATGAGATGACAGACTAATCATTTGCTGGATTTGTTCAGTTGCATTAGCAATAGAGATGGTGTACCCAGAAACTACTGATACAAATTATCACATATAAAGAGTCAGTTGACATTTGTAAGCTTTCAGCAGAAGGTGAAATGACGGCAACTTCGTATCATACTTCTTGACACTGTTCATCACCTCATGAGTTACAAAGGGTTTGCTGACAGACATCATTATGAATTGTAGAATGTGGGGCTCATTTGATGCAATTTTGTAAAGTAGGCATTTTCAGAAATACTGCGGCCCTATTAAAAGTTGCATAAATATTATATTGAAGCAGCCCAAGCATGGGACACCGAAAGACAGAGTGTATCTGAGTCACTGGTTGATATTAAGTATCACTTCGTAATATGTAAAACCTCGCCTACTTAACTAGCTCGCTAGTTTTCTAGCCTGTTCCAAGCCCGGGTAAATAGGGATAGTTGGACGTGGGGCTAGCAACCCCACACCACTAAATCTTTCAATCCTCCAGAGAAACTTCAACACAAAAACTCAAAGAAGAATCTTATTCTTCGCTGGAATCGGAGAGGCGAAATGACACAGCGTGCTGGCGAGAGCCAGTCTTTGGGAAGCCAGTTAGCCAATGTGTCTTCTCTCTATGAAAGCAAGAGTAAGAAACCAGTTTGAAAATCTTCTGCACTCCGCCTCAGCATAAGGAACAAGATTCTCGTTTTCAACACCAATGTCAAGTCAGTCAGTTCTTCTATACAGGTCAGAAACTATCACTGCGTGTCACGAAAAGGATTTCCAATAAGCCACTACAGACTTTCATCAACGCGTGCCTTCGATGGCTCCATGCTGAAGATTAAATGGCCAGAAAGAATAAGCAACAAGAAATTATGGAAACAAACCAACCAAGAGCCGATCGCACAACAAATATGTAGGAGAAAGTGGAGATGGATTGGGCATACATTGAGGAGGCCGCCGAATGACATCGCGTTGGGAAGCGATGAGTGAGTCGTCCTAGGGTGACATGGAGGAGATGGTGTGGCGAGGAGGAGATGAGAGGTTATGGGCAATCGTGGACCCAGCTGAAGAGGACGGCAGTAAACAGAAAAAGTGGAGATGTGTTGTTGAAGCCCTATGTTCCACTCGGAACTCAAGGGAATAATAATATATAATAATATACGTAATATGTAATGGAAATTGTCTTGATTGTAGTTTCACTGTATCACAAGATATTAATTAGTTTAATGGGCAAATATCAATTGGTTACCAGCCATTACCAACTGGTTAAATTAAGAATTATAAAACATATGCAGTTAAACAGTGGTATTTCGGAGAAAACCTCAAGGCTGATGTTCACAATTCGGACAATATTTTTATATTCGCCACTCACATAAAAAAATAAGTACCTTCCACTGCATTCGCAACTCCTTTTAAATTTTTCTAGCGTAATTAAATTAAATGTTAATGTGACATCAGAGTATCGAACAAACCATATTTCATTCATCTTAGCAACTCCATTCTGTTACATCTAATTGTTTGATTTAAGCCTTAGACAATATAGCCAGCTGAGTGTAACAGAATGGTTTGTGTTAATATGACTTCAGACTTGATTATATACAGTACTATTGAAATATTGCATAGGGATCACAGCAACGTACCACAGCCGCTCCATTTAATGGTATGTTGACCTAAAGACCCAAAGGCCAAAGCAGATGACCAGCATGTTTTATCAAATTAATTAAATTCATTGTGAAAACACCATAAAGAAAACACTAGTGTAAATTATCAGTTAAGGTGTATTGCATGCATTCCTTCAAATGATTGAGCCTGGACAAATACTGAGACTAGTTTGTCTATAGAAATGTAGACGTGTTAAAGAAGGAAAATCCGAAGTATACCGAAGAATCCTTGGCTGGCTGGTTCTCACATTATTCTGCAATTAACAGACACATCGATTTAGACCAAATTTAGTAATCAACAAGGAAAAAGACTGACAGGTCGAAAAATATAAGACCGATCAATGAACGAAGAAACTTCTATGTACATTAACTAATCTTTCAAATATAAGGCCAACAAAACAGTCAGTACCTACATTGTTATACGAAAATCTCTGGAAATAGCCAGCCATAGGGAAGACAGTTACTTCATCCATGAAAATTTTCAAAAGCTTGATTCACTTTGAAGTTGGTCATGAAGATGTCTAGAGGAAGCATTGCAATAAAGCTTTGCGATTAAAACGTTAGGCTTGCAGAGGAAACGCACGGCAAGAGTGTATTAGTTTTTTGTACAGAATTATTTTAAAAAATTCATCAGTTAGATTTATGGAACACAGTTATGTGATATGAAATTCTACTGAAACCATGACAATTTTATTGGCTTTCAAGTATTGGTCTGTAGGGATTTGACTGATTGGTGACAGGATTTCATCATGAACTGACATCTGTTAGAGGATCATTGGCTTTATTTAAGCTCCGTATATAATTAACTCTTCACCAGTTTATTTAAATGAAGCAGACTTCACATTTGTGAAAAGAGAACAACTGTAGGCTAACTGCAAAGTGAACAGCATGAATTTCACTTATGCAGTAAATGCCATGATGGGATGGGATGCCGCATAAACATTGTAAAATGAATTCATACTAATAATGCGAAAGGCAGATTCTATAAAATGAAACTTATCGAGATTATCAGAAAAACAACTTTAACTGAGGTGATAAACGAAACATATTACTCTGATTCATGAGTCTTCTTGAAGTCAATATTTTTTAAAATTCCTTTACGTTCCGAGGTGGAACATAGGGCTTCAAGCTAGAGACTTGAAGTTTCTGTAGCAGTGGTGATTATTTTTACAGGATGGGGTTGCTAGCCTCATGCCCGAGCTTTCCTCCTTACCAGCTTTTATTACTGGCTTAGCGAGGTAAAGGAGTCCGTCGGCCGGTCGAATCCCGGACCGCCTGCATGGTTGGCAAGCACTCTACCGCAGTGCCACCGACGCACTAAGCCATTATTATTATCATTATTCAAACAATTCCCATAGGTTCCAAGTGGAAAATAGAGCTTCAGCAGCACATCTTTATTTCATCCCACACTCTGCAGTCCTCTTTAGCCAGTCCCACGACTGCCCATAGGCTCTAATCTCCTTCTCACATGATCCCCTACATATCATTATAGGGCTCCCAACTCATCGTTCCCCATTCGAGTTGCACTCGTGGAATCCGGTGGGCGATGTCACTTAACAGTCTCCTCAGAATGTGTTATCCATCTCCATTTTACGTCAGCATATTTGCTAGGCGATCCGTTCTTTGTTGATAATCATTTCTGGCTGGTAGTCTCTTTTTCACAGAATGGAGCAAAGGCAGCTGTTAATGAAAGTCTGAAGCATATTCGAGATGCTTTTAGTGACACGCCTATCAAGCGTCTGGACCATAAAGAAGCAGCAGCTGACATCAGTTCTGAAAATCTGAATCTTGTTCTCCTTACTTAGTACAATAGAAGGTAATACAGCGTTTTTTTAAAAAAAGAAACCGTTACAATGTGACGCTTCATCACCCCTACAAACTACCATTCATTGCTATCCTCTGTAAAGAGTGTTTGTTTGTGTATGCAACTATATTCTCTATATAACTGGTAACAAAGTCTTTTGTTTTTTGTCTTGGGTTGAGTATTTTTGCTTTAAAAGATTTGCAACTCGTTAATTATTTCACTTCAGTGTTAGCTAGGCTTAGAATCGCCTTACAAACGATAATCACACTATATATATATATCATATTTACAGCTTTTTAACAAGCACGAAAATTCTTGTATAACGTCATATGAAAAAACCACTTTGCTTAAGTGCTTTTTCCACTTCTAAAACGCAAATAAAGCAACAAAACGATATGCAGTGAATCGAAATTTGATTGTACAAAATTTCGATACACTGCAAAATATTTTAATTTATTGACAACATTTAATTTTTATCATATAATAAACAATTTAAAAGGTATTTTGTTGGAATTAGTGTTTTTATTCATTTATTTATTTATTTTTTGTTCACTGAGTTTGTTTTTTGACGCCTATTCAAATTACTTACAAAAGGTACAAAGTTTCATTCAGTCTTGATGTTTGTGGAAAACTGACTGATTTTGACGGTGGTTTGTTTTAGTCTTAAGTTTTAATCAATTTAATAAGATGAGTTATTGCAGAATACTCTAGAAGGAATGAATAGTCTCCTAATATAAAATTCATGACTTCTTAAGCATAGGATGGAAAATCTACGAGTTAGGGTGAAAGCTGATTGCCACTTAAGATGTCGAAAGGTGAACAAATGGAATAACGCTAGGTGACATTAAAGTTGTGTGTTGAAGCTTCTCTAGCGGTTTGAAAGATGTAGTGGTGTGGGGTTGCTAGCCCCACGCCCAACCCTCCCTATTTACCCGGGCTTGGGACCGGCTAGAAAACTAGTGAGCTAGTTAACTAGGCACCTACAAACAACGCGGAACAAGACAAGAAAGAAGAGTTTTACAGACCACTACA